CACCTCCCCCCCCCTTTGGACATTTACCTACCTATATACCTACCATACCACAGCGCCACAACCGCAGCAAATCTTTTCCCTCCAAAAACACCTTGTCCAATCTGGAAAGGTTTCGCGCCTGCTCATTCCTCAGGCTTTTTTTTCCCGCCATAGCCACTACTGCTTCGATCAGCCGTCTCGTACAGTACCGCACTCGACAGCACAGAAACTACCATAATATTCTTTGCACAAATTCGGTACCGACCTTCATGTTGTCAGACACACGCACAGGTTTCTCCACCGCTTCCAGGCTACGCAGGTTCCCGATACTCAGGCTAGACTTGGCGCTGTTCTAGCAGGGCTATACAAGTGTGCTTCATTCGCATTGGCTGTCTGCTTGTGCAAAAGGTTTCAGTATCCAGTCACGTCCGTCCTAGGAAGGGCAGAACACGGTTACGTGCATCCCTTCGGTGCTATCCGTCACACACACACCGCCCCTAGCCTCATAGCGCTCATCTGGAGGGCTTGCCAGAGAGTGTGTTGCTGCTCCCGTGAGTCCAGCGCCACCACATCGTCCTTGGGGAACACGAACATCCACATACTTATTCCACGCCGGCACCCCGACGATACGACACGCCACGACAAAGGTCCCGCGACTCCAGCCGTCGTCCCTGCTTCATTACCTTTCGCGAGTCGTGCACAAGGACATAGCTCCTCGAATTATCGCAGTTGGGCCCGAGATTGCTGCTGGGAAGTCCTTCGTCCGAGATCCAAAACCTCGCCCGCCAAACGAGCCTTGTGGTCGGGTCTGCCAAGGACCCAACCCGTCTTCAAAATTACGTCTCTACAGTCCATCCTCTCCCCACCCGATCCGGCTGCCGATGAAACGGCAAATACTCCATCCGCCCCGTCCGCTCACTCCACTCCGAAACGGAAGTTTGCAGAAGCTTTCAGCGCGGTGCCTCCGGAGCACAGAACCTCGCTCCCCCCGAACCCAACACCGGCGGCTCCACCACCAAGCTACCATAACCATTCCATTCAGGGCTTCGTGCCCGTCGGCGGGACTGTAGCTGGGCATGGTCATGGTCATGATGACCGGACCAGTGCAGGATTTGCTGTCATGAGTGGTACGGAAGACAAAAAGTCCGTCATAAAACGGCAGCCAATGCGTTCAAGCATAGCCTGCCTCCGGTGTCGAAAATCCAAGATCAAATGTGAGAATGATGGAGGATCATCGCCTTGTGAGACTTGCATCAAACAAGGAAAGGATTGTAGATACCCAGAAGCGACTCCATTGCCACCGAAACGGACGGAACCGCCGACTGCCACCAAACAAGAGCGCGAAGCTGGCTCCGACCGAAAGCGGTTGAAAAAAATAGAAGATGTATCGCGCGGTGAGGGTTCGTATTCGGCAGCTGCTCTTGCTGAGGATATCCTCTCTGCACACTACCTGACACCAAAACTATGGTCTGAGGTCTTTGACATCTACAGACTTCATTTCGCCACCGAGCTGCCCTTCCTTCATATACCGACACTCAAGGAGGATATGGGTGCCAAATTCAGAGCAACTCACAAGGACACCCCACCAGACACGAACCTTGTTCTTCTCGGTGTCCTCACCTTGACTGCTCGATTCCATCAAGACCTGGTCAAATACGCTACTCATACAGCCAGCGCACAGCCCGGGGCGGCCAAAAGTCGACCTGTCCAATACAAGTCTGACTCATCTGCTGCATCCGAGTTCTTTGCTGAGGCGCTGAGGAAAGCTCTCGGTCCGCTGGGTACGGCCATGACAACAGCATCGGTTGAACGCGTTCAAGCTTTTCTCATGCTGGGTCTATATGAATGGAGCCAGGTTCAGCCCAAAACTGGGGGTCTGGGAGCGTGGATGTATGTGGGTGTCGCAATCAGGATGGCACAGGCACTGGGGCTTGGATTCGGTGACAAGCCTGATCGAAAGTCGCGGGCGAGAGCTCAGCGAAGCAGTGCGGGGTCATCCAGGGTGTCGTTGCCGCAGCCGGAGCTCATGATATCGAAGGAGATCAAGAGGAGGACAATGTTCAGCTGTCTGATCCTTGACCGTTTGCTTTCTTGTGGCAAAGAACGCGTGTCAACGATTCGATCAGAGGATCTCCAGATCCAGTTGCCCTGCAACGAATGGGCCTTTGATTTATCCAAGGAGGTGAAAACAGGATTCCTGCCGGGCTCATCAGATGAAGAGGGCCCGAGAGACGTCGAAGACGACAGTGTGCTCAGCAGGTTCGTGAGACTGGTGGAACTTTGGGGTGATATCTCAAACTTCAGCTTTGCTGGGGGCCGATTGGTCGAAGAACACCCACCTTGGGACCCTCGAAACAGATTTTGTCAGCTCAGGAGAAAGCTGGAAGCCTTCTATTCCGACCTACAACCAACCTTCACTCTTTCCACCACGAACTATCACAGACATGAAAACCACCAAGCCTCCAGCGTCTACGTTGCACTGCACATGCTTGGCAGTGTTTGTCAGATTATGCTTAATCGGTGAGTTCGATTTCCCTTTGAAAGAGATAGATCAAAACAGATGCTAACAAAATTTCTTAGGGAATACATCCCGTTTTTGCCGATCCGGTGTGACAAGCCAATTGGGCCGCTCGACGAGCCAACCTTTCCCGCGGGTCAATATGACGTGCCCGAAGGGTTCTGGGAGGACAGCGCTGAGAGGGTCTTCAAGGCCGCTAGGGATATTGTTGACTTGATCGAGATCTGCCGTGACAAGCTTCCCATGTCTGCTCTGGTTCTGTTCTCCATTTGGATAGCAGCCTTTGTTGGACAATACGCGTGGCATTTTCCACACATGGACCAGCAGAGGCATATGCTCGTGGAAGATGACGAAGACGATCGTGGATCTGAGGGTGATACGGATCTCACAAAAACTGGACCCACAGGCACTTGTTACCAAACTCTGATACGTATCTCCGGATGGTTGAAGATGGCATCTACCTACGCCGCGTATTTGTAAGTGTTGACACCGTTGCACGATTGCAACTCGTTTTTGCGTGACTGACTCGTTACATCCAACAGCAAGGAAATAGACAGCTATATCACCAAGATCAAGCAGGATTATCAAAAACATCTGCAAGCCAGCAATGACAATGCCAGAGTACCCAACGACGACGGCAAACCCCCAATACATGGCGGTGGCCTCGAAGAATGGAAGCGCCAGAATGCCAAGATCATCAATAACGGCATGATTATGGCCGAAGACGACCCGCGCCACGCGCATGAGGGTGGCTCGGAAAGATCCCGCGCGAGCACCGTCGAGCCCGGCTCTGTACCCGATGGTACGCACAAGACTCCTCGGTCCAACCCTTCGATGTTCACGGCTATCAACCGTCACACTGACGGGCACGTTCCCGAGTCTGCACATCCCTCGCCGATGCAGGCTTATCAGGCGCTGCCCGGGGATGGCGACCTTGCCAGTCACCCTGGGCAAGGGGATATGAATGGGAATGTTGTGGATCACATTTGCGTATGGGAATCAACGCGAATCGCGGACTGTTTAGGAGGGGTTGGTGGAGACATACAAGGCTTTTCGTACGGCGACGTGCCGGACGCGAATCTGCTGTTTGGGCAGGCGGTCCCAATGCTTGAATTCGGCGGATATAGCTGATCTTTGTGGGTTCTTTTCTTGTGACTCATCAATCATTAACCATAAGGCGGGCACGATTATTTAAGGTGTCTTCTCTCTTGTCTCTATATATCTCAGATTTGGAAAGCACAAATGTGCACAGGCTCGCGGGATGTCTGGTCTCTAGCGGGCAGGTTCTTTAATGTCGGGGAGCGAGGATTGGCATGGGGATGGGCAGGGCATGGAGAGGCCACATCAATATTATTGGGTAACTACACTGTGCGATGGTTAGGATCAAGCGAGTGGGCGGTGAAGATGAACTATCGAAAATCTCTTGTTTGAGCGAGATACCAATCAAGTCATTGCCTCACAAATCGTTTACAACATAGTACCTGGTGGTCGTAGAGTATGCCGTGTTTGTAATGGGGGTGTCACTTGAGACTGCTTACGCTCATAGCACGCCCTCTAGCAGTACATCTTCAAGTGTGATATCCCAAAGACAATCGCTGACCAGTAGTCTCTTGGTGAATGCCCTCTATGAGAAAACCTGAGGGTCTTATGGGACGACGTCCCGTGGCTTTTCGACAGGTTATATCTGATGAGCTCCCCTGGCTCTTGAGCATCCTCTGGGTCCGCATCTTCTTAGGTAGCTCCCGAGTGGGATCATCTTCTATAAAATAGCCTGTCATTGGACCGACTCAAAGGAAATGTTATTTGTAGTTGGGCGTGTGAGTCGATTTACACGGCCTGTGACTGAATGGAAGACTTTGACTAATATTCAACATTTGCTACAAGCAAATATATATGTTCTAGTACTCAAATCAATTCAGCGGGCTTTGACCTATGTATGAAAACTTCAGAATAACCCTAAAGACAATTACAATTCGCCTTGAACCTTATGGCTGTTTACTTTATGATTTTGAAGCAAAATCATTTCAAATTCAAATATCAATCTACGCGATTTTTATATATTCCAGTGAGCAAAATGTGGAAGTCAGAAGAATTTATCCTTATGCATATAATACCTACCAGGTAGGTAGGCATTAATACTCGGAATTGTATACAAGATTATAGAAACTCAATAGCAAAACTGTCGGTTGACTCTTAATCCGTACGGATAAGTGGCACTGGTAACTGCTGTTGATCATCGTTGAAGGTTGAAGGAGGAAGATCTGGCACGAAGGCCAGGCTTGGAGGGCCGGCTAAACATAGGCCCTCAAGCGTATGACTAATCTAATTCAACAAAACACATTATGAATATTTCTGCAAATAGCAATACTCTTGGGGACCGGACCAATGTTGAGTGAAACGAGCTGGTAAAACAAGATAGACTAGACAAAAGCATAGAGGCAAGTTTCCACATTCTCATCAAGGTTATAATAATAGTTTTCTGCATTGCTTCATTATGCTCCATGCCCGTCTGGCGCAATGGTTAGCGCACCAGCCTTCTATTTACTTTTGTACAGAAGCTGGGGGTTGCGGGTTCGAGTCCCGCGATGGGTTTTTTTTGGTGTTGGAAGACGCAACATTGGACTTTTTTTTCTCTTTCCTAATCAAAGTATTTATCCAGCGCCATATCGACAAGAACCTAATCAATATAGAAACATTCCTAAACAAGTCATATAAGTGGATTGTAATTTTTCGCTTGTATATCCAGAAACTCAATATAAATATTGTATAACACAAAAGCCATACTCAGGCCAAAGGAGTTGTCAAAGCATTGACCCATTCGGGATTGAAGGGACCGATGCAGCACACACCTCAGTAGTGAATCTCACATTTTTTCATACTGACAGCAGTCCAAATAGTGGCAATAGTGGGATATCTGATTTTCTTGTCCGTATATAAGGGGGGCTCCTTAGGAAGTGTGTGTCATGGCCGTGAGACTGCGCCTTGTTTGCAACGGCTAAATCCAGGTCGACGGCAATGACAAGCAACCACTTACTTCAGGCACTCTTTTACGAATGCCTTCATCTCATTGTTGAACTTGTCGGGCTCTTCATAAAACATCCAGTGACCACCATTGAAGAGCAACCACCTTGCTAGCCTTGGGTTGCCGCTGCCCTTTTCTACCCTCCTCACGGTCTCCTTCATCCCTTCCAGCGGGAAGCATCCAGTCCGCCTCCCCGCCATTACTAGCGTGGGCTTGGTGATCAGCTCAATGGCTTCACGGTGATCATAACGCGTATGGTCCGCTAATAGCCTCGCTAGCCACCTTCCATCACAAAGCCGACTGATGCCCGTGAAGAACTCCTCATCACGCGTAGCTTGTTCGGAGCTAACATCGTCCGAGTCCTCCGGCGCATATCGATAGCCCAAACACTCACTAACGAGCCCTTTGTATGCCTCGTCAGATGTCTCGATCCAGGCCTTTTGTGCACCCAGCATCGTCTTCTCATCATAGCAGCCAAGGTGAGCTTTGCTCTCATCCCACTCATCAAAGCTCGACCGGTCCTGCAGAGGCGCCTGGTCCGCAAACACGAACCCAGCAAAATCCTCATCGCCGAATAACTCCACATACGTCCATAGCACAGCAGCACCAATGCTACAGCCCACAGGGATAATCTTGACGCCTGGCGAAACCCCCCTTAGCCGGGCCACAATAGTGCGCAGATCCAGCGCCAGCCGCGCGACGTGATATCCACCTCTGCTCCGGCCCGAGGCACCATGGCCGCGCATGTCCGGGGCCACTACCCAGTGATCCTCGGATAGAGCGGCGTAGTTGCGTGTGTAGTAGGCGGAGCTGCCGCTGAAGCCATGCATAAGGAGGATGCATTTCTCACGCCGGGGGTCGTCGGTGGAGCCGGGACCGGAGGAGGGTATGTCTTCCAGGGGTAAGGAGGTCTGGAAGGCCAGGGAGAGAGCGTCGGTCGTGCCGACGTAGGCATATTGCATACCGGGTTCCGCAGGAAATTTCATTGTGGGTGAGGATATGCGGGAGTGAGAGGGCAAGATGTAGGAGGTTCCAGTCGTCAAATTACAGCTCGCGAGTCCGTGTACTCTAACCAAAATAAATTCAGGGAAATGACACACAAGCCTGTCAAGAAGCTGCCTTGAATAAAAATGAATGCAAGCAATATTGTAAGCGTAGAGGACGCGTTCACAGTTTCATCCAGGGTGGCATCAATGACATCTCCACTTGCTCGTTTGATGTCTCTGGAGAGGGTTAGGGTGACTCATGAGAAAACGAGGGCATTTATAGTCCTCAACGTCTAGTTTTGAGCGGAGAAATATTAAGATTTCTCTCAAAGCAATACAGATGGCAATCATTCCAGTAGATGTAATTGAAATTGAGACGAGATCGTAGATTTATCGAGCAGGGAGCGATGGTGTTTCAGTCTGCAAAAAACCTCGTCTCCATTAATGATGACTGCCCCTGGGGGCCTTTCTGAGTGACGTTCCATGTACAATATCTTCTTTACATCTCAGAGACACACACTTTTACCAATTCAACATGAAACACTCTGCCAATTATTCAGGTTCATCAGGAAGATCATACGACGCCCAAGAGGGATGAATGCCTGCATACCACAAGACCCTATCTCCATAGCCATTTCCACTACTTTCCCCAGACCTCAACATTGAGCCGACGTGGAGGGCAGCTCTTACTCAAATACTTTTCCATCAGATTCACTGCACGACGAGATGGATATCAGTGACGGCACGTCGCGGTGGTTGTTAGCCGTAGGCGTGTGGCCGTCAGAGAGGAACAACGCTGTCTCTCCACGAGTTCTGCCCAGGAGGACACTGGAGTCGCCGCCAGACTCAGCATTCTGGGGGCAAGGAGCATTGGGCAGAGGAGTTCTTGCGGCGACGATCGTGCCGCCCGGGGTGATCGTCAGGTTCTGAGAAAGAGGGCCGCTGGACAGAATGGAAGAACTTCCATACATACCAGGTGCAGTGCTGATAATGCTGACCTGGCTTTTCCCCTTTGGCGTCTTCACCGCCGTCAATCTCTTTCGTTTGTTCGTGCCTGGCGTCGGAGAATCCGAGCCAGATTCTTCCTGCATGGTTCCCTTGGCCTTCAAGTCCCTACGAAGCTTGGTAATTGTACCAGTCTTGTCCTTCAGCGTGACCTGCAGTTTCTCCACATGGACGTCGCGGCTTTTCAGCTTGGCCTGCAAATCATCAACAATGTCGTCCCTCGCCTTGGCTTCGGCCTTGAGCTCGGCCTTGAGCTCGTCGATTCTACCCTTTAGGAATGCGGCCTTTGCGATCTCGTCATTGAGTTTTGCAACCTCCTCTTTCAGCGCGGCGATCTCGGAAATTGAAGAGCCCAGTGCAAATGACAGATTTTGGTTTGTATTGTCCTTGAAGATGGCTCTAGCAGAAAGAATCAGCATGTTTCAAGGCACGGGCAGGACGAGGACTGCTACGGTTTTTCTGAGGTCGTGTTCCTCTTCAGCGGCCCAAATAGTACTTACTGTCTCTTCAACCAATCTCTGTCGTCTTGTGCAATGATCAGTTGATCTCTCTCGATCTCAGTCTCTGGCGACTGAGGAATGTAATGCTTCCATTGGTCGCAGCATATGTTAGCCTTGAGACGGCTCGACACGCCCGCGATGCCCTCGCGTTCAGCGCCTTTGGGAATCTCGATCCATAGAGAGCAGTCGGCTTCAGTGTCATCCTTCAGGTGATTCATGGAAGTTTGAGTAACGACAAACTTGCGCTTGCTGGGAAGCTCTTTGAATCGAATGAATTTGACGAGGTTCGGCTTATCGTTGTCGTACTCGATCTCGAAGCATACTTTGTGGACGCCATCCTTGAGGCTCCGAGGGTATTCGTTTGTCGTGATTCGGAAAGGGGTAGCTCCACTGGTAATGACATGCTTGTCAAATTGCCAGGGAAGCCAACAGCCGTCCATGCCATATGCCTCGCTCACTGTGTGCAGGGCACCAAGCACAGTTTCGCACAGGCTGGAGCTTTTCTGGGTAGCAGTCATTATGGTCTGTCCAAGTCAGTGAGATGGTGTGATGGGCAGAGATAACGTCTCATGCTGAGGAAGTTGACGTGGATCAGAATGAGCTCACGTTGCAATGAGCAGGCGTAGACGCACGCAAAGGAAGAGGGAATCTGGCAGTGAAGCCAGTAAAGCTCAATTTAGGCAATAAAGAAAAAATCCAACAATGCCAAGTAAGCCTGAGTGTGATGGTAAGGTAACGAACTGAAGGAAGCTGGGAGATACGTGGATGGATGCATGCTCTGGCCCAGCAACAACAAGCTACGCGTCGCGAGACGCCGTTGCCACGAGGCACGAAAAGCAGATCAGGAAGAAGTTTGGTATATAACAACGCACACCTAAAAGACATAAGAGACTTACCGAATATACCGTCTTGATAGAAGAAGAAAAGCGGACTATGGTCGTCCGAGCTCGTTGGGACGTTCAAGCGGTGTTTGTGGAAACCTCTTTGTGGAAGAGTAAATCAACAAAAGATGGTGAGGTGGGGAGGAAACTTCATGTCTCCTCGCGTCACCATACCCCAAGTCATGGTGCTCGACGAGATGTCCGTGACCTGAGTGTAATTTTGTCGAGGGCCTTACCATCAGGAATACATGACAGATCGTCAGATTGGTCATGAAGGTGGAGATCTCTTCTTCCAAGACGAACAAAGGAAGCTCTCCAGCCTTGCATGATACCTGGTTGCTGGGAGAGGAAGGGAGGAGTTGTCGAGAGTATGCTCTCCTTTAAAGCTCCCAGGGAGGGCTGGACAGAAGTTGGCCCCCTCCTGTCCCCATACTTGATGCCAGCATCATCAGTACAACAAGCTGGCGCTTTGTAAGAATATGCGACAAAGAACCCCATCAAGGAACCACTTTCGAGCCTCGCTCTGCAATGAGGCGGTCTCCAGAGGTCTTGATATTGGACTTCAATTGTCGCAGAGCATCCGCATCCAAGCTCATCTTCATGAGGAGCGTCGATGAAAATTTCTTGGAGAGCATTTTCGCTTCGACACCCAGATTTGCCATGCTGATGACCTTTTCGTTGCAGAGTTGCCTGACGAGTTCTTCCGTGAGATGCTGACAGTTATTGGAAAACAGCTGGTACCGAGGATGTTCGGCGATGAAGTTGGAGGCTGGTGAGAAAAGTCAGTCATATATTCAAAGTCACTGTACTTCCTTCACTGCAACAAGCTGATGACGCACCTATATTCAGGATCTCATCGTGTGTTCTAGTCGTCTCTCCAACGTATGAACAACCTGTCCACGACTCTACCATCTCCTCCGTAACAGGGAAGCATCGGGGGTAGTTCTTCATGATTTTGGTAGTGGGCAGCATCTCTGTGTTCTGTTGTTAGCAGTCTTCGCCCAGAGAACGTGTGGTTTGAGAGGCTCGGAAGCGCATGGGCAAGAAAGGAGAGCGAGAGGGTGCTGGCAAAGGAGGGCTAGAAATAAATGGCCGCCTTCAAGATACTGTTCAAAGTGAAAATGACGGGAGAGCGCATGGTGTGTGGAAAGAATGGGCAAGAGATACGTGGGCGCACTTGTAAGAAGACTGAAAGAAT